GGACCGCCGGGAGCAGCCTGTAACCGTGACGGAGGAAGCGTCTTGCGTGTCCTGACGCCGCGTCCGGCCCTGACGCGGCTTTGTAGAAACACAGACAGTTATACTGGGAAAGGACCTCAGGGTTGTCTAATCTTTCCTCTCACAAAAAACTAATTTTACAGGGTTTGTTTCCCGCTAGATGCGTCCTGAATCTTTTCTTCGACTCCCCAGGGGTTTGTCACAAAATGGACAAATGCGAACGCACTCTCCGTCATTGAGTGCGCAAGGGTTGTCGATACTGCTGTCGCAAGATCTCAGTAATGGCCCCGTAACGATACACTAAAGCATTTGGTGTCACGCGTGCGTATTTGTTGCGTCGATGTTATTTTAGAGGAGTACAGCAAATTATTCCCTCATAAGTTAGGAAGCTGAACGTCATAAAGAGTGAATAGGTGTTCTGTCTTCCTTAAGTTAAGAGAGCCTATCCCAGATCGTGTGTTGAGACGACAACGTGCAAAACCCTGCTCCACCGAAATGAGCGCAAAGCTCTCCTACGCCTTAGATCCCTAACTCACCGTCTAGCACGATTGCGTACAGCCGTCTTAAAGGAGTCCATAAAAGTTGACACACAGATGCCTACAGGTGAAAGCTAAAACATTTTCATGGCATGGTTATTGTTAAATGGGGTTTTTTTAATGAAACAGGTGTAGAAACATAAGTAGCGAGATTACACTTGCTGTAACATTAAGCATTTTCTTTCCTACTGTATCTTGCCATGAAAATCTATAGACTATCAGCCCTTCTGCCAGAACACATCGTATCTGATTTTAAATACAATAGATTGCTTACATAAAAGAAGCAAAGGTGTGAGTGTGGAGTGCAGGGATACTGATACCAAAGCTTTAGAACAAAAAAAAGAACCTGCGGGTAACAGGTGGTATAGAAAATGATTCTTCTGTATACCAACCCTAAGTATATAGATATGTTTTGATTTTTCTGACTATTTGTAATTTGAGACTGTGAACAGCTTCTGTCAGCGCACACACACAAAATCAAGAATTGCTTCAGGAAGTAAGACTTGGCATAAAGAACTCCCTCATTACACCTGGCTTTAACCTCATCCTTGGCACAATGAGCAGATTGAAGGAGAGTGCTGCTTTACAGAAGCTAATTAACAGATGAAATGGGTCCACATCTGCTCACTTAGTCCCTGCTAGCTCAAATCATATGCCACTTTGTGCAAGATAGGATTTAGGAGGCATCAGTCACGACAGCCTTTTCCTAACTGAGTCTTTCACATGCATGGGATGTTCCACTGGAGGAACAGTTGGACAAAAAAAATTTTAAAAAAAGATTTCACCTCAGCCTTTACTGTCAAGGCTATGTTAATCTGTCATCTTTGGTGATTTGAGTCCAGCTCAAGACTGATTTTCAGATACATTGAATCTAAATGCTTGTATTTTCTGCTGTATTTGTTTACACACAAAAGTCTTCATCCCATTAAAAAAACTTCTTCAGAAGACTTAAGAAGACTAACCTGTTTGTGGTTATCATTTAAGGTTTTAGCATGTCAGTCATCACCTACATACTGAATAGTATCTCCATTGAGATACAAAATGGATAAATACAAACTTACTTATCTCAATGGAGAGCAATTTTTTGCTAGCCACCTTCCAATGCTGTCCCTTTGGGGTTTTTGAAGTTTGCAGCTCAGATAATGTTTCTGAAAGGGAATTCTTGGAATTTTGATTCTCCAAGATTTAAATTACAAAAGTGAGGAAGAGGTTGGCTCCTGATTGATGCACCTATGTCTTGCAATCTAGAGCATAGCCGCTGTGTAGAGCATAGCCACTGTATTGCATTCATTAACCATTAACATACTGCCTAGGTCAAAGGACAGTGTACCTCTGCTGCTGAGCTAGTAACCCTCTTTACTGCCTAAAACAGAACTAAAAGGCAGAAGTGCAAAAATGAATGAGTTGCCCAAACAGTTTGCGATGGAGCCATGGTTACAATAAAGATCAGATTTTTTTTCTTAAAGATCCAAAAAATGCAGGCGTCTCCCAAGTGAACAGTTCCTGCCGTAACTGCGGTTGTCCTGTACGTTTGTGCGCTACTGCATCTATATCCAATAGAGGGCAGTGGTAGCCCACATGCTTAAGCTCTGTTCTTAGTTCTTTATTCTATAGACTGTTGTCCAGACTCGCACTATAATTTCACTTGGCA